ATGTTGCCTCTAAACAGGGAAGGAGGAAGAATGGCGGGAGGATCTGAGAGAAAGACGATACTCGTGGGTCTGATTCTAGCTCTTGTTCTTGGAGTCGCTGTTTACTTAAGGCTATGGACAATCGATTATACTCTATCTTCCGATGATACAGAACGCTTAAGGTTACTTCCTCTTTTCTCAAATCCGAAAAACGATTCTGTTATTCGTTTAATTTTGTTTAAACAACTGTGATTTCTGGGTTTTTTTTGGGTTGTACATTGTTGGGTTTTTGTAATTTGATGATGGGTCTTTCAGTTTAAGTAGCTGGTGGATTTCAATTTTCCAACTTTAGGGTTTCGATTTCAGAATTTAGCTGCATTTATACAACTAGGGGTTATGGTTAGTGTGGTAGTGGTGGTTGGTTTGATCATTTCAAGTAAATGTTTATGATTTACATTGGTGTAGGAGACAGTTTGATTTGGCGAATAGGGAGGCAATGGATGAATCCGCAGAATGGCGGAGAATGTTTGACAAGGAATCCGAGAAAGCTTCGAAATGTAACACAGAACTGGCACTGGTACTATCTCCTAAGCTCGTCCATGTAGAAAGGTTTCTTTTTTGCTTTAGGGATAGTTATTCGAATGTACTAGTTATGGTTGTCTCTGTGGTTAATTAGTCAGACTGGTAATCCCGGATAGTTGCATCTGCTTCGGAAATGTACAGCTGTGTCTGCTCTACATAGACTGTTTTCGCGGCTTGTACATTCTATGGTTATCTTGTTGGCTCTATGACTGTGAATATGCTCGTAGCTTTTATCATGGAAATTTGATACGGAAGGTTTAGTTTACCCGTTGATCAAGAAGCATCAGTGCAAAAACACTGCCTTTCTCTGTTTCGGTTGATTTTTGAGCATTGTCTTGTTCTTGTACAGATCAAAGAATCATCTGGGAATGGAAACCCTTCTACCTTCAATCAAAAGCTAGAGTCATTACATAAGGTGACATTCGCAATCAGAAATTCAAATCGACAATCCTTATAATATTGGATGCTTGTGGCTCATTAGTTCTTTGTCTCTTGGGTAGGAAAACGCGGCGTTGCTCATTCAGATAGAGACGTTAAAACAAGAGCTGGAAGCTTCACGGTTAAAGTGCCGTTCAAGAGAGGCACCCCGTTAGATTAGTTTTCGTGATAGACATTCTCAGATTGCTGTCGGCGTTTACATTTGGTTTTCGCTCATTCCGCAGCTACTATTAAGAAAATCTTGAATATTTCATTCTAATGTATTATAGGCTCTTTCTTGGAATACCTATAATATACGAATTAACCCATTAACCAATTAACCCAAATTAAAACAAAAAATGAAAAAAAATTGGGTTAGTTTTTTGTAAATAGGGAAAAATAAATGGGAGAGAAATAAAATACTAAAGATTTAAGTCTTTAAAAAACCTATCTCTAGCGGATGCCTTGGCTTTTTCGTCTCCGCCGCCACACAAACACATTCCGCCTCTCTTCTTCTCTGTAAATTTCGATCTCCACCTTTTAAATCCTGATTGATTGATGAAAATCTGTCGAATTTAGGTTTTCTCTCTTCATCACATCTGAAAAATCAGCCAGAGACAAATGAATCGCCGCTTACCAACCTCAAAGAAACCCAGGAACATGCTCTGTCTCTCGGGATCCCTCTGTCCGATATCTTCGTCGACGGTGCAGACAAGATCGACTCTGATCTTAGTCTTCCTAGTCGAAACTATGTCTTTGTAGCTTCTATGTCTGAACAATACATATATGGAATCTTAGACTCGAACTTTAATGGGCAAACAAAAAAAGCTTGGAATCAGATGGATCCAATTTAATAAGGCAAAATCTCTTCTAGAAGATTTGAGTATCTTGTTGCTGAGATTTATTTGCAGATACTGAAGAAACCAGATTGGATTTTTCTCTAGATCCGTTCTAGGTTTTTTACCGATCCAGATGCTTGTACCTGACGCGGATTCATCATCATCATTATAATTGACATAGAGATATCGATGGATTCAAAAGACAAGGAGAATTTGGACGAGGCGATGAATTTGTGGTTATGGTGAAGAGTGGGTACAATCCTGATAGTGAATGTTACTTCACTCTCGTACATTGTTTGTGCCAAGGAAGATTTTGAGATAGCTTTGATTCTTTGTAAGGAGATTATGGAGAAGAATTGGGTTCCGAGTTTCAGTGTCAAGAAGTAAACAATGCATTCAAAACCCACAAAGGTAATACTCGTAAACTCTACATGACAAAGTGTCTTCTTGTTGCGATTTGCATACGATTTGGAAACAAAGACAAAAAAAAAGTTTTGGATTTTTTTAGTTTGCATACGATTTGCAAACGTTCTGAATCACCTGGCTAGCCTCAATATGTACCACATCAGCCTGGTTATGAACACCGTTATGCACAACCTCAGCCTGGTTATGAATCCCTTGGCCAACCTCGTCATCAAACCCAAAGTCGAAGTCTAATAAATCATCCAGGAAGTCGTCAATGTCAATAGGACAAGTGTTTTGATTTGGATCCATTGAAAGAGACAAATCAACTTATTAGAGTAAACAAACCTTGATGCAGCCCTAACTTCTTCCCTAATCCAGAAACAAACCCTATTAGGTAAATAGAGAATAACCTATTCTCAAGAAATATAAGTCTATTCTAGAGAAACAGAAGCCTATTCTGGATATCCTCTGAGAACCCCTAACTATTGTCAAAAATTACAAAGCCTATTCTCAAGAAACAGAAACCTATTTTGAAGTTCCTTTAAGAAACCGTAACTAGTGTCGAAAATCACAAAACCTATTCTAAAGAAACAAAAGACTATTCTCGAGAAACAGTAGCATAAACTAATTTTTCTCTCATAACCTAACTTTAATCAAAAATCATAAAACCTACTCTGAAGAAACCGTAACTTCCTTCGAAATTGACAAAGCCTAAACTGATATTCTCGGTACCCAAACCATAGGAAGAAAAATCGCATTAGAAAAGAGAGTAACTTTCTCGAGAAATGCAAGAAACAAAACCCTATTCTCTAGAAACATAACCCTATTATGGAGAAACCCTAATTTTTGTCAAAAATCACCAAGCCTATTATCGAGGAAACAAACCGGAAGATATAATGAAACAAAAAAAACCTAAAGGATTGACTTGTCAAACCAAAGAAACTAACAATCAGAGAGAACGTACTTTTCTTCTTCGAGAAGATGAAAATCGCCTCGAGAAAGGTAAACTCGCCTCGAGAAAGAAGTCCTAAGGGACAGTGAAACCAAAAAAACTTACGTATTGACTTGTGCAACCGAAGAAACTGACAAACACAGAGAAAGTACATTTCTTCTTCGAGAAGAAGAAAATTGCCTCGGGAAAGAAATCCTAAGAGACAATGAAACCAAAAAAATCCTAAGTATTGACTTGTGCAACCAAAAAAAACTGACAATCAGAGAGAAAGATAGTACCTTTTCTTCTTCACGAACAAGAAAATCGCCTCGGGACACAAACCCTAATAAGAAACTTGCGTAGATTGGTAACTTGGATTTGACAATGTGAAAACAGAGCAGAGTCTATAGTCTATATAGACTAATATGGTGGTTATAGTCTACATAAATAAACCTATTTAAAAAAATATATACAAATTAAACATTAATTTAGGATATTTTGGTAATTTCCAAACTGTATGCAAACTAAAAAAAAAATCCAAAGCTTTTTTTCTTTCTTTCCAAATCGTATGCAAATCGCAACAAGAAGACATTTTGTCATGTAGAGTTTACGAGTATTACCTTTGTGGGTTTTGAATGCATTGTTTACTTCATGACACTGAAACTCGGAACCCAATTCTTCTCCATAATCTGCTTACAAAGAATCAAAGTTGTCTCAAAATCTTCCTTGGCACAAACAATGTATGAGAGTGAAGTAACATTCACTATGAGGCTTGTACCCACTCTTCACCATAACCACGAACGAATTCATCGCCTCGTCCAAATTATCCTCGTCTTTTGAATCCATCGACATCTCTATGTCAATTATAATGATGATGATGAATCCGCATCATGTACAAGCATTTGGATCGGTAAAATGAAAAACCTAGAACGGATCTAGAGAAAGATCCAATATGGTTTCTTCAGTATCTGCAAATAAATCCCAACAACAAGATACTCAAATCTTCTGGAAGAGAATTTGTGTTATCAGATTGGATCCATCTGATTCCAAACTTTTTTTGTTTGCCCCATTGAAGTTCGAGTCTAAGATTCCATATCAGTATTGTTCAGACATAGCAGGTACAAAGACATAGTTCAACTCGGAAGACTGAGTTCAAGGTCGACCTTGTTTGCACCGTCGGCGGAGAGATTGGACTAAGGGATCCCGAGAGACAGAGCATGTTCCTGCGTCTTCTTTGAGGTTGGTAAGCGGCGATTTGTTTGTCTCTGACGGATTTTTCATATGTGATGAAGAGAACAAAACCCAAATTCGACAGATATTCATCAATCAATGATTTAAAAGGCACAAATCGAAATTTACAGAAAATAAGAGAGGAAAATGTGTTTGTGTGGTGTCAGAGACGAGAAAGCGAAAGCATTTGCTGGAGATAAGTTTTTTAAGACTCGAATCTTTCGTATTTTATATCTCTCCCATTTATTTTCCTTATTTACAAAAACTAACCCAAATTTTATTCACTTTTTTTTTTAATTTGGGTTAATGAGTTAATTCGTATTTTATGTTTGAAAACTAAAACTAACCAAAATCTCATTAATATTCAAAACTTCATTAAATCAGTGAAGAAATTAATGAAATTCAAAACTAATATTCGGTTTTGTAAGTTTAAATCATAAAAGAAAAAAATAAATTATGAAATACATGGAAAGTTTGATATTTAATGATTAAATCCGGGTCAACCGGTTTGATTTGTTCACAAAAAAAAACTGGGGTTTGGCCGGTTTCATCCAGGTAATTTAATTAATGTTGGGTTTATTATCAATACAACCTGGCTAGCTATCCGGTTCACGGTCGAACCTAGTCCAAAACACTGATCGAAAGCATTAATTTTGTTGACATGAACGGAAAACTTATGAAGCGTAAAAAATTCACCCAGCAATACATATTCGAAGCTTTAGATATTACTTTGTAGGATTCAATGCAATTGAAAATATGAAATATTTTAGAAAGAAGATTCTAACATATGCTTGATCTATATATCTCGCTAGAAGATCTGATCGCATTGCCACAATTCTATAACTGTATATTATATGTGCGTTGAAAGGAATACATATCCCATAAATTCCATGAAGCACCACTCAAGTTTTTGTATATATGAATAGAAAATATATACGTACTTAAGTTTCCTAAGAGTTTGGATCTATAACAACGATGAAATTTTTGGGTGCGTAAATTTCTAAAAATGTTGACTTCTTAATTTGTACACAATTAAGGATTACCCATCTTCTTCACTCCTAATACGTCCAAAAGATGATATAACGATATCTTGAATCATTGTAGCTGACATATTCTGAGAAGATGATAAATATCGAACTCAGAAAATGCTCACAATACATACGTTCCGTCATAAACAAAATTCTAGGGGAATCGGTTCTTTAACACTCATAGTCAGTCAAGATTCGGTCTTTACAAAAGATTCAGAAAGTCTTAACCCGAAACTAATTGGAATACATGACTGACTGTAACACGTAAAAGAGCTTTCAATGTTTTAGAGCACTTATACAAAACAGAGCATGCGTGCAACACAACATAGCACAAAAGGAACAAATGGATTCTATGGAGAGTGATTAAAGAATTGGAACCATAAGTAGAGGTATGAGACTTCTTCTTGNCGCGCTGTTTGAGTTGATAAAGAGAAGAGCAACTCCCCAGGGATGCCATTTTGCACCATAGGAGACGTTGGATGTCTTTAATGATCTGACTTGTAGGTTTTGATTCAGTTGAACGCAGTCTAGCATTTCTTTGCCTCCATAGTTTGTAGACCGAAGCTTGTAGGATCAGTTTACAAATGGTGTTGAGCTTCTGGTCATCCAAATTTAGTGAATAAAGAGCTAGCTTGTGTTGTTGTTGCCTCTTAGGTCCCATGAGAGCATAGCAATGCCGGTCTGGTCTTAGGGTTTAAGCGACTGGTTTCTCCTTGTGATCGTCTAATTGCATTACAACTTTCGGTTTTCATCATTGACGATTCAATTTTTTTCATCAAACCCGGTTCTAACTTTAAGAAAATAAATTTGGATGGTATTTTTTTTTTTAAACTTAAATGCATTTACAAAACCTTAACCTGTAATTTCCAGGATCTTGAATCTGTAATTTTGGAAAAGAGGACGAAAATTAAAAGAAAAACATTTGGTTTACTTGCTTTCGTCATATATCTAACTTTTCCTGAAGGTTACTTGTTGAAACTATGGACAAGTTGAAGTTGCACACTTTTCCTCCACACACAATTAGCAAATCATATCTCTGCATATTATGCATCATCCTATCTAACTTTGAATCTAGAATAAGTTAAGTTTCAACATCATCTATTCACCAAAAACTCAACCACTCCCTTTCTCCTCCTAATTTACTTTGCCTCAAGATTCCACAAAAATCACTATTTTGTTCATGTAAACTTGAGATAACTCATGGAAAAGTGACATATGACTGCGCTTAATCGATAAGATCAACTATCAGAGAGTCAGGCCAAGAATGCAAAGTGTTTTCTAGTACTATGATTTTCCAATGTAATATCTGTTTCTCAAAAACATTATAACTAAATCGAGCGATAATTATACTCTGCCCTTATTTACATCATACTAGGAAGATAGATTTCTCTGAACTTACTCTTATCTTGTGTGCTTATTATTTAGTGGGTGGCTAAGGACCAGAAGTTGAGAAAGAAGGAAGGAGACACAGCAAACCAGCTGATGAAAGCCATTGCTGTGGCGGTCTCGAACCTTGTGCAGTGGTTGACGTTACATTTATCAAGATCGTTGATGAGTACGGTTATACCAGCAGCCGCAGATGCAGCTGCAAACGTAAGTGTCGATGTGATCTGCACGACATATAAAGATGAAAAACATTCACTCACTTTGATGCCATCTAGTAACTAATTTAAACATCAATAGGAGTTTGTGTGCCTTGAAGGTTAAACATTTTCAGATAAAGACAAGGGAAAGAAAGAGCTAGTGAGAGAGGTTGGTTTTGTTCTTACTCCATCTCCAATAGTGAAACATTGAACAACCAAGTGATTTCGAAGGCTTCTTCTCACAAGAAGAGCATAAGCATCTACAAGAAAAAGAGACAAGCTCCACAGGCTTTGCAGTCCAACCGCAAGAACCAAACAACTGTCACAGATGAGAGTTACATCTCTTGTCAGATTCAAAACCAAAATCGCTCAAATAAATCCAAATTCTGACACTTTTTTCTTGAAAAATCTTAATTCGTTCTACAAGCACAAGAACGTAGACACAAGAGACTAAAATCATCTCAAAACCTTAAACAGAAGCAAATGAACAAGAAATGATAAAACCCTCGAGACTTGACACCAATATCAGATGACCAAAAACCCTAATTTCCATAAAACTATAAAGAATCTCTCAAAATCATCCAAATGTTATCAAAGAGGCGAGACCCAAAAACCCTAAAACTTTCCAGAATCTAAAACCACACATAAAGATCATCGAATTCAAGAAACAGAGTGATTAGAGCTCGAATCTACCAGAATGCGGTGGCGGAGCGAAAATCGGAGGTGGTGAGCATGACGGAGACGGAGATGAGAGCAGGGACGAACTGAGAGAGACGGAGGATGAGACCGCCGGTGGTTCCGGGCATGCCCTGCACATCTTTCATCCTCACCGGCGGTCTATCGATTGCTCCCGCGGTAGGAGCCATCGGAACCGCATCTACTGGGTGAACCGCCGGTCGGCTCACGTTCATCATAAGCTTCGCAAACAAGTGCGAGCTTTTGGCTTTGGCTGCGTCTGGTGGTCTGAAAAAGACACGTTTGGATTTATTACTTAATCTGAAGGGTTTTTAAACAAATTAACCCATTTAAAGTTAGTCTACTACTACTGTCTATTAGTGGTAATAGTGGGTTATTACGGTAAATTTTACTTAACTAAAATAAATTAAAACATCATAGGCCTTATATGGGCTTTGTTGTTTGAAAAAGTTGAAACGTTTTGTTACAGATTCTATGGTTTTGATTCGTATCGATTTTAATTTTAGCCATGCGAAACTCAGACTCTCTGCCAATATCTAAAAATACGCAGAGTCTGCCAATGTTTCGGCAGAGTCTGCCAAGAACAATTTTGATATTATAAAAAAAAAAATCCAGAATAAGTTATTTCAACAATAAAAAAAATGGTAAGCTTATTCTAGCTATTTTTAAAAAAAATAGGTTATTCTAGGTCAATTTTTCTATTTATTATTTTATTTTGTTTATAACTATGAAGTTTGGGAGTCACCAAAAAAAATTTAAATTACATGGAAAAAATCTTGTATTATGTGGATTTAAATCCAAGTGGTAACATAGCAACAACATTAGATGTTTAACGTCTATTTGAACCATTTTTTTTTTTTCTAAAAAATCTATTTGAACGATGTTGGGCATAGTATTAAATCTCTGTCATATTTTGGAAATGTTAGTTTTAAATCGTTAGAAAAAATCTCTAAATTTATTTAAACATTTAAAATTGAATTTGGCACCACACGGCAGACGAATCAAAACCATCTGG